ACAATACTGTTTTGGTACTAAGTACAGAATAATTTTGTTCAAAATTTAGGCCCGCCTCCCTTTCTAGAAGGAGCCCTGGTGGCACTGTAGGTTAAGCATTAGGCTTCTAAATAAAAGGTCAGTCAGTGGTTAGAAACCACCAGTCATTCTGTGAGAGAAAGAAGGCAATCTGCTTCTGCAAAGATTTATAGTATTGGAACTCCTTTGGGGCAGTTGTCCTCACTCCTATAGAGTCAGGTTCTAGTCAGTTTGATCTCCTCTAGTATCACTAACTTGCTCATTAATTACCATTGAGTCACCACTTCAGAACTTTAATCCAAAACTGGTTGCATTGGCATCGCTCTGGTTATGTCCACTGGGAGTGGGCATCCAGATTTTTGACAATGTGCTCAACCAGAGAGGCCCCAATCCATGCAGCTGTAGCGGAGTTACAGATCTCTGGTTTCATGTTATTTACCTTACAATTACTGTGTAATTAGAGCCACTTAATGTATGTTATCAAAAGTAAATCTATCTACCCCAGACTAGATGTAGTATGTTTTTTCTTTTTTTTAGATGTAGTATGTTTTGTACTGACCCTCCAGTGGGTTTCCAAGGCTGTAAATTGCCCATCTTTCTTTTGTGGAGAAGTTGGTGGATTTGAAGCACCAGAGAGGGTCCACTTTGGGTTAAGCAGCACACTTCCCTAAACACTATGCCTTCAGAGTTTCCTATTAATAATAACTCAGTAAGTCCCCCTCATGGTGCTGTAAAGGTCTGCTTACAGATCTTTCCCCCAGCTGAGGCTGGATCACAACTCACTCCATGTATACCATATTCCATAACACCATTCCATACATACCCTCTACACCGTAACTGCCTGCCACAGGGACTCAACAGATGTCTAATGAATGAAAGAACAAATAAATATTCTAATAGGCCCGTCTCCCCCTGAGGTGGCTGTTCAGGTCTCTCCTTCACCATCCCCTTCACCCACAGAAAAAAAGGCAGACCCTCAGCAGCCACCACTCAACTTTGCAGATGTGTTTTCGAGAGAGAAAAAAAAATATGAAATTTCAGTAATAATAGACCAGTCAAGTGTTTTCTTAAGTCAAAGAGGAATCTGAGCCAGAAAAACAGGAAATTCCTAAATACCTGGGTAGAAGATCACAGCCCACTCCAATCTCTCTTGTTTCCACTTCAGTCTTGGGCTGGGCTTCTAGTAAATAGTCCAATCTGCTTTGGAGTTCATTATTCTAGAAATGAGGAGAAAGAAAACAAACCACCACAACTTAGTAAAGCAAGCATGTTTCCCCATAAACAGGCGTGATACAATTTATATGCAGCCTCCAGGTTTTTACCAAGGCATGGCTATCTACCACAGATCATTTATGGAGTACCTAGAACATTCGCTCTGGCGGTGCAGTCCAGAGGGACCCGGGCTGCTGGCTCAAATGTGGTGCCTTGCTGGCAGTCTGAACCCACCAGCGGCTCTGCAGAAGAAACCAGGGCCCTCTCCTCCTGTGCTACTGACTGACAACCTCCAAAAACCCACTGGAGGATCAGCTAAGAGTCAGTCCCAACTCTATGATGGTGCGTTGAGTTGTTCTGAGAAACCTCCACTGGACTCTATATTCTACCACATAGAGTCACAATGAGTCAATCAATTTGCTAGGACGAGACAACAACAAGCACACAAGAGGTATGAAGTCCTCCTTTGGTTCTCTCGTGAGTCCACAGCTTCCTCCTCAGTGACCAGCCAGCACCTTGGAGCTTGTGGCTCGCGGAGCAGAGTCCTTGGTGCAGAGAAACCCAGCTCGGAGTCGCAGCCAGAGTGCCTTTTACCTGAGAAGTTCAAGGCACTCTGTAGAACTTCGGTCATAAAAGCCAATGTGTGCTACAGTCATGCAACACATTGGTTAGTGATGGCAGCCATCATGAAGACACTGGTGATTGGTGGTGATGGAGCTTGTGGCATGACTAGCTTGTTCATAGTCTTCAGCAAAGATCAGTTCCCTGAGGTGTGCATGTCCACAGTGTTTGAAAACTATGTGGCTGATAGTGAGGTGGACGCAAGGCAGGTAGAGTGGGCTTTGTGGGACACAGCCGGGCAGGAATATTATGATTGCCTGAGGCCCCTCTCCTATCTGGACACCAATGTTTTACTGATGTGTTTCTCCATTGGCAGCCCTGATAGTTCAGAAAACATCCCAGAAAAGTGGACTCGGGAAGTCAAGCATTTCTGTCCCAATGTGCCCATCATCCTCGGTGGGAACAAGAAGGGTCTTTGGAATGATGAGCACACAAGGTAGGAGCTAGCCAAGATGAAGCAAGAACCAGTAAAACCCGACGAAGGCAGAGACATGGCAAACAGGATTGGTGCTTTTGGATACATGGAGTGTATACCAAAGACCAAAGATGGAGTGAGGGAAGTTTTTTAAATGGCCACGGGAGTGGCTCTGCAAGCCAGATGTGGGAAGGAAAAAAAATCTAGGTGCCTCGTCTTGTGAAACTTTGCTGCAAGCACAGCCCCCGCGTGGTTAACTTTGAAGTGCTGTTTCTTAATCTCAGTGTGTGATTACTGACCTTTTTCATTTATCTATAATTTACCTAAGATTACAAATCAGAAGTCACCTTGCTATCAGTATTTAGAAGCCAACCATAATTATTAATGATGTCCAACACCTCTCATCCACCATCATGTCTCTACACTGCTCTAACAGCCCTTTTCTGCACTCCCACCTGATACACCTGGAGCTAATTCAAGGAATTTCTTACTTTCTTCTTTCTAGACAAAGTTGATAACTTTTGTGAATTAGGCTATAACTACTTTATAACTAACATGCTCTGCCTATTATCTGTCAACTACAAGATACTCTGGCCAGTCACCATTTCAGAACTTTAATCCAAAATTGGTTTCATTGGCATAGTTCTGGTTATGTCCACTGGGAGTGGTCATCCAGATTTTTGAAAATGTGCTCAACCAGAGAGGCCCAAATCCATGCAGCTGTGGCAGAGTTACAGTTCTGTGGTTTCATGCTATTTACCTTATAATTACTATGTAATTAGTTCCCCTTAATGTATGTTACCAAAAATAAGTATATCTTCTCCAGACTAGATTAAGTATTTTTTGTATAATTGGATTTCCAAATACTGGTATTTGTCATCTCCACAGAAAGTATATTGGTTTTTTAAAAAGAAAGTGTGTTTGAAAATAAAGTCAGATGGAAAATTCCTTTAAAAAAAAAGAAAAGAAATACTCACTTCCTACTGACCTAAACTTTACAGACAGCTGTATTTGTTGGGCACGTATGTATTTAATCTTACAAAGTGGAAAGTATATAAAAGTCTTAAGATTCCCCCCTCCATTCAAAAATTTGTTGAGGGCTATCTTTCCAGATGTATTAGTATTATTTTTATGTCAACAAACAATTTTAATACATTCATAGCATTCCAGCATATCAGTATACTTTTAAAAAAATTTAATTAGTCTCTCATTGATGGGCACTGAGGTATTTATTATTTTTATAAATAAGGTGCAGTTCAACTTTTAACACCCTCTTGTAAAACTATAAAATGAGTGAGTCTATTAATTTTATTTAGTGGGAAATACCTCTCTAACTTAATAATTAGTATATATCATAGGTGTGAAGAATTTTTAATCCCAAACATATAAAGTAGAACAAGCCCCTTGGGGTTCAAATTAGCATTTTAAATAGTTTTGTTTTTGTTTTTGTTTATTTAAGACCAGAGCCAAACATTACATAGTTTGATGCTCAGAGTCTTGGGAATTGGAAAGTTACCCCATGCAGAAAATGAAGAACAAAGAAATAAGAAAATGAAAGATGCTCAAGTGAGAAAAAATGATTTGATGGTGCCAAGATCCCATGAAGGAAAAAGAAAAATTCAGAAAGATCTGGATAGTGGTTATCTCTGTGTGCTAAAAATTTGAGTTTTTTAAAAATAAAATTCTTCTATATGTTTTTCTGTCATGAAGCAATATCATACCCAGGCCTATCTTCTTGCCTAGATCCTCAAAGCATGGTATGCAGGATATGCTTGATGAATATTTATTAACTAAATATTTGCATAAATGTTTTACAGTGAGAAGATTACATATAAAACTAGGGAAACTAAAGGATTTCACTTTTTATTTTTCCTTTTTTTTTAAGTTGAGCTTGAAGTTGAAATAAAATTTTTAGATACTGCTTAATACACGTAAGTTTAAATCCTATGGAAATAGCAACTCTTCTGTTTTGTAAGGAGGATTGTGGAGTAAACCTCAATACCCAACTCAACTCACTGCTGTTGAGTCAGAACCATCTCATAGCTGACCCTCCAGCAGGTTGTGGAAGCTATATATCACATGGCAGGAGATTATCCATCTTTCTCTCACTGACCAGCTGTTGGATTTGAACCACCTGAGAGATGCCACCTCTGGGTTAACAGTACAACTCCCTATGGACTACGCCACCAAAGCTCCCAGAGATCAAGACCTCCTGCCTTAAGTAAGTGATTCCAAGGAGCAAAGCAGCAGCTTATGTAATAAACCCATATTCTGCAGAATGTGAAAGTTCAAAGGATACTTTCTGATAAATAGCAAATGGTGTAAAGAAGAGAAAATGCTCAGATTTCCTAGTAGCTGACAAGCCATGGCAGATCTACCTATGGGCTCTGAATCTATTGTCTGGTCCTCGGCAGCAGAGAAGGTTGCTGGCTCACGGCCAGGGAGAAATCAACATTTACACACACACACACACACACACACACACACACACACCCCTTCCCTAGCAACCTGCCCTTTAACAAGATCTGCTATCCCCTTGCCTTCTCACTTCACAGGCTAAAGCTTTTAATCATGAAGATTTCATAGATTGCCAAGTCTAGGGCCTATCTATAGTTAAACTCACAAACACAAACTTGTTGCCATCAAGTCAACTCTGATTCATGACGACCTTCCATGGGTTTTCTAAGACTGCACATCTTTATGAGACATACTTCTAAATAGCTTTAAATATAAATGAATGAATGAATGAATGAATGAATAAATGAATAAATTTCAAAAGATCAGTTAGAAAGTATTTGTAAATGAATGATGTAACATATCCAAGCTTCTGGAAATGTAACTAAAGCAGAGTTTAAACACATAACTACCATTGAGCTCAAGTTGGAACTGACTTTTAGCTAATCCACCAGCAAGTTCCTGAGGCTGTAAATTGCACAAGAGGAAATGGCACATCTTCCTTCCAGGGAGTTCGTGCTGGTAGATTTGAATCACCAGAGAGGCACTGCCTTTGGCTTAGCAGTGCAACCCCACACAAACTACACCATGGGCACTCCCTCAAAAAAGCTGAGTGTAAGCAGGCATGGATAGCTTTAATGGCTTATATTTAGAAAACAGCAAAACAAACCTGCAAAATGACACATAAAACCTACTAAAGAAACTGGAAAAACAAAAGCCAAGTAAACTCAAAAAAGACAGAAGAACAAATATCAGAACAAAAATGAAATATAAAATAGAAAATTATAACAAATTAACAAGCTCAAAGGTTGTTTTAACAAAATAAAATCACCAAAACGTATACCATCTTCAACCCTCAGTTAGGCCAATTAAATAAACAAGAAAAGGTGAGGGGAAAGAAATGGCACACAAATTCGTGAAGGGTTCCATATTTTTTACATTCTTCTAAGTGGTATAGCACTGGTCCATTTGCTGTACAGATGTAACTCATGGTTGCTGTGATGCTGAACACTGTGACACTGATGTGCCAAATGCGATAGTGGTTACCCATGGAGGACAGTGTTTGGTGGAGCTCCCCAATTAAACAAGCTTGGAAGTAGGAGTGGCATCCACTTTCGAAATATCTTGCCTCCAGAAACTCGATGAACTTGGAGAAACAATGAAAGTTATACAAATGTGTAACTTCTTTCATTCATAGAGTCACTATGAGTTGTCAATGACTTGACAGCACTTAACAACAACATAATTGGGAATTAAATTAAAAAGCAACAGCTATATACTGTATGGAGGAAAGATGATTAACTCTTCACTCGAATCTTAAAAACTAACTCAGTATCATTCACAAATCTGAGCAGAAAATATAAATTTATTAAAGGAAATCATAGGAGAAAACTAGCTTTCTAGTAAAACAAAAAGTTCTTAGAAAAAGACATGAAATAGAATGAAAAAGAAAAGAAAAAATGAAGTTAATCTATTTAAGGAATAAACTTTTCTTCTCAAAAGACACCATTCAGA